CATCAAATCTGCCACAATGCAAGACACCTAGAATCTTCCCTCCCCCACATGTTCTGGACCATGACAACCTTCCAGGAGCCAGGAAAAGACAGCAGTGATGACATCAGTAGTAACCCTCCAAGGACCAGTCTAGAAAAAATGATGCAGCAGCTCCCAACTTCTCAAGATTGCAAAGAGGACCAGTAAGCAGGATCTCTACTCCATTGACAGAAAAGCAGAAGCTGGCATTTGGGCGGACAAGAGGAAGAGATCTGCTAGAGGAGGAAGGGAAGTAGAAACAATCTAGCTAGGGTCAACATGGCTCAAGGCCTTGAGGAGGGACAGGACCCATTAGGCCCTGTCTATCTACACAGCTATTCTATCCCTCACCCCAGCAAAGCAGTTTCCAGAGCAGAGTTACTCCTATCCCAGCTCACAGAAAACAGAGGCCACTTCAAGCCAGACAGAAAGAAAGGCAATCACTTTTATTTTTAGGTAATCAAATGAATTTTACTCTTCTCCATCCTCTGCTTACTCATGATCTTTCTTCTAAGCATATTAAGGAAAAAGGAAAGACTAAATCATCCAAAGAGTTGTAAAGATCCATGAAGAAGATGGACAGCTATCTTGGTAGCATCGTGGAAGGAATGAAGGGGCAAAATGTGATGGAATGTAAAATTGGGCTTGGAAATGGAGAAGGAATGAACAGATCGTTAAGGGAGGAGCTTCAGAAAATATTACTCAGTCCTGGGAAATAAGTGTGAGAAAGAAACTCAAAACAAAATCCTTTGGTTTTGTTTGGTATAAGATGTAGTAAAAAGAGTTGAGAAAAACTTTGTGAGGATTTCAGGATTCTGCTATATATCTTAAAACAATAAAGTACATTCCTGAAATTGTTGCTGCTCCTGTCCTTTGACCTTGCCTGCCTTGAAGGGCTGACACAAAAGAGCAAAGAGGGCTGCAACTTCACCCTTAAGATCCTTGGCCCTAAATGCAATAAAGGATTAGGATGAACCTCAATATCTGTAGCGGATTACAGAGATGACCTTGAAGAAAATACCCATTGACCATCTGCAAAATGTAAGCTTAGGCTGAGAAAACAGGAGAGCATGAGAAAGAAAGTCAGGTTTGCTCCACTCTTACTCTCTTTGATATAGTAGGAAGAGAAGGGGAAAAGCTGTCAGGCTTCCAAAATTGGTATCAGCTCTTGGTAAACTAGGTCACCACAAGAAATACTAGAACTCTATTGATATATGGTATAATAACAGAATCCTGAAATCCTCACCAAGTTTCTCTGTACTCTACTACATCTTATACCAAACAAAATCAAAGGACCGTTGTTTTGAGTTTCTTTCTCACACCCTCTTAGGCAAAAACTGAGGCAAAAATTAACCTTGCTAAATTGGCTTCACACTTCCAACAAATATTTGTAGAGCAAATAAAGAATATCCTGATGAAATTGGAGAACTGTTAGAAACAACAGAACAGTAGCCCTCATTTCCAAAAAGTAAGTTAAAAGGATTATTCAAAGTGATATGTTAACAGCAAAAGTATTTAAATCCTTCCTGAACTGGTGAGCTAGCTGCCTTATTTTCTTATATTAATAGAATGGGTTGGATGCCTCAGAGGACAAATAGTGTGGTGATCCCCATTTATAGAAAAGGAGAGAAAATAGATGCTGCCAACGATTGCCCTATTAGTTTGATTAATATGTGTTACAAGAGATTTTACACAGGCTTTTGGAATGGGAGGAATTAATATCTTCAACCCAGAGAAGGCTGGATTTAGAAGTCTCAACACTTTCCATCAGTGTTACATCTGATATTAGAGTCAGTGGAAAAGTCCTCTAGAGGCCTTTATGGAGCATTTGTTGACCTTATTTCTGCCTTTCACTTGGTAAACAGCTAGATTTTGGGAAAAGTTGCTGTCCACCAGTACTAATGGATGGCTTTTGTTGTTGATGTACAAACTGTATAAGGATCCAAGTATGCAAGGGTGTATTAATTCATTTGCAACACTGATGTTTCAGTCTAACACATGATTGGATAAACGGGAATGAGACAGGATGCATTCTGGCTCCCTTCTTATTCTGTTTTTACATCAATACTTTTGTAATGGAGCTTTCATCTCCCTTTTTCCCCTACGTCCATTGGTAAACAGAAGATTTCCATATTAACATATGCCAACAACATGGTCTTATTCTCCACAATGCAAACTGAGTAAGGTGACTGAATATTACAGAACTGAGTTGCTTAAAATCAACTATTCCAAAACAAAAATCTTTGTATTTGCAAAAAAAGTCCAAAAAACATTAAAAAATCCTTGATGGCAATGCAACAGAATAAGTATTTCATTTACATTTCTGGGTATTTGTTTCTCACAGTCTGTTCTGGAAAGTAAGTTTTCCTCTCCAAAAGTGGCCTCTGGGCATGCAAGATTACAAAGGGTGCCATAACACTGAGTTACCCTGAGAATACTGCTGTTACACTTTCCTCTTGTCTCCATCTTTAGTGACCCAGAACAGAACTTGCCATAAAGTACTTTTCTGGTCACTGAAATATGAATCTGCAAGGTCTTGCCTACTAGGGGGATAAAAAGCATCAAAATAATTCAAATGCTAAACATCTAACCACTAATTATTTTTTGTATTTGTGAACCATTATACATTGTTTTTCCATTTCTTGTTTTTATGGTACAATGTCCCATTAAAAAGTTTAACGACATTAATTGGAAGTCAGTGCATGAGATTGAAGGAAGGAGGTTTACCTTATGGGACAGGAAGAAATCTTAAGACCCACCTTCTAGCTAGAAGAGGGAGAGTTAATCCTTTCCTCTCATGCCTAGTTTACATGCCTAGTTTATTGTAGTTTGCCTACAATTTTCTATCTCATTTGGAACTATCCCTAAGCTCCCCTTTATCACACTCCCCACACCTAATATTCACTCACAGCACTCATTCCTTTCTTTCATGATCACCCCTTCCCAACACACACAAAACATTCGTGCATCAATTCTCTCCCACAGTGAGGAGGATCTCTAAGCCTGCTGGTAACTCTCCCATGCCCTCTTCACTCTAGTCCCAGACTCCCTCCCTTCCCCTCCCTTGCCTAAGAGAAAAATGCTTCTGTAGGGCAAACTGCTCTCCAGGGGATGGATGAAAAAGATCAATGGTGCCAATGGAAATGTAATTCTGTAATGTGATTAGAAAGTCTAGCTACAGCTCTTTTGAGCCTACTTTTTTTGAGATACTTCAAGAAGACTTATGGACATCAACAGACAAGTAATCCTTAGCAAATTTGGCCTCAAGCCTGCTATGTGCATATAGGTACAGAACTGAGAAAAATAAATAATAAGGGTAGGTAAAAGTACAGAATTAAATCAGTGATTTAAAAGACCCCTGTCCCTTTGTTAACAATGAACATTATCAATCCATTTCTTTATATATGGGTTTGCACAACATGCCTATCCCAGTCTGGTATAACTGTCAGCTCTTCAAGATAGGCCAGGTCAAGAAACAGACACCACAAGGATTGTGGGAATACTGCTTTATTCCTGTAGGGTAGAATCTTAAAAGCCTATGCAAAATCTTCAGTGCCCCCTTTGAAGGGGTAACAAGGTCAGGGCGGGGTTGTTTTCAGTCCCCTTCTCATGCTTTCTACTTTCCCAGAGCCAAGCAACTGTTTTCCCTGTCCTTCCCTCAACCAATGAAAGTGAAGGCACTTTCAGCTAGATCAGAAGCAGCAGCTTGATTGCTTTAAACACCATTCAGGATATTTTAATCTTTCCAGGCTTTTACCTAATCTTAGCCCTAATGTTTTTAAACAATTAAGAGACATTCCAAATAGTTTGCCACTGAAATTTGATAGAATTTGTGATTAGAATTTAGTGGCAATCCTACCCAATTCCATATTCAAGATGCAATTGAAGAGGCCACATCGAAGCAGGAATGCTGGAATAGAACTCTGTTGCCTGTTTTAGTTCTAGATTGTTGGATCAATCTTTAGGTGAGAGCAATGCCCCAAATCTCCCCAGCTTTTTCCTAACTGATATCTTACTTTGCAAATACAACATGCAATGCTTTTGCAAAGCATAGACCTCCCACCTTCAAACCCCCATCAGACCTGCACCACTTCTCTGAACCAGAACAGGCCAACTTAGGTGGAGAGTCAGCAGGCATCCAACGAAAGATCTGGATGAGGCACTGGAGACCTGCTTGACTGTACAGCAAACAGCCCTGGGCAGGTACCTTTCTGAGGGTTGGTCTGGCCATAGCAGCTGTGGCCAATATGGGTGGTGGCACCCTGGATTGGTGATGCTTCAGGTTGTCACTTCTTCCAGTGGCAGAGGACCTTCTGTCCAAGGTGGGTGACACTTGCCTCCGGGAGTGCTTGTTCTTCTTAGATATCTCGTAATTGCCTGGATGAGATTAAAGTGGGGCTTAATAATTTGCTGCTCAGCCTCACGTCAGTCCTGCCAGGACACGACTTGGGATGGCAGCGGCCGGAACGGTTTCTCCATTTTTTCTGCTCC